CTCGCTCCTGTCCCCCAGGCTGGAGTGCGTGGCGCAATCTCGCTTCACTGCAAGCTCTGCCTCCCAATTCACAGCCATTCTCCTGCCTCAGCTTCCTGGTAGCTGTGACTTGACATGGCGCCTTGCCACTGCTGCGCCGGCAATTTTTGTGATGATTTTAGTAGGAGAAGCGGGTTTCACCGTGGTCTGGATCTCCTGACCTCTTGTGATCCGCGACGACTTGGCCTCCCGATGGTCTCGATCTCCTGACCTCGTGATCCGCCCGTCTCGGCCTCCCAAAGTGCTGGGATTACAGGCTTGAGCCACCGCGCCCGGCCAGATTCTATGTATATTTGTTAAGTTAACCTTTTGTGAAATGGATTAGATGGAGTAGAATCTATCAATATCCTATAGTTTCTGGTTTGTTTACTTATTTATTTATTTGAAACAGCGTCTTGCTCTGTCACCCAGGCTGGAGTATAGTGGTATGATCATAGCTCACTGCAGCCTCTATCTCCTGGGCTCAAGCAATCTTCCCACATCAGTCTCTGGAGTAGCTGGGACTACAGGCATACACCACCATGCCCAGCTAATTTTATTTTTGGTAGAGACAGGTCTTGCTGTGATGCCCAGGTTGGTTTTAAACCCCTGAGCTTAAACAGTCCTCCCACCTCGGCCTCACAAAGTGTTGGGATTACAGTAGAGAGCCACTGCACCCCGTCTGATTTCTGGATTTAAAATGGCTTTCTCCAAACAAATTACTAAGTAATTTCACTGTAATTTCCTCTAGCTTCATACTCATTCTAAAAATTCATAATGAACTTCATAAAACTATGAAGTCATAGCTTCATAGTTGTAAATGTAGTGGCTACTAGAATTAACATGTTAAAAAATAACTGGATCAGGCCGGGCACGGTGGCTAACACCTGTAATCTCAGCACTTTGGGAGGCTGAAGCAGGAGGATCACTTGAGGTCAGGAGTTCGAGACCAGCCTGGCTAATATGGTGAAACCCTATCTCTGGTAAAAATAGAAAAATTAGCCGGGCATGGTGGCGGGCACCTGTAATCCCAGCTACTTGGGAGACTGAGGCAGGAGAATCGCTTGAACCTGGCAGGCTGAAGTTGCAGGGAGCCAAGATGATTACCACTGCACTCCAGCCTGGGCAACAGAGAAAGACTGTCTCAAAAACAAAACAAAACTGGATCAGACATATCTATTGCCCAGATAGGACATGAACATCCGTTTATAATTTTTGTTCATCAGTATCATATAATTTTGTTCATCATCGGTTTATAAATTTTGCTCAGGCCGGGCGCGGTGGCTCAAGCCTGTAATCCCAGCACTTTGGGAGGCCGAGACGGGCGGATCCACGAGTCCAGGAGGATCGAGCCCACCTGGCTAACCATAGTGAAACCCCGTCTTCTACTAAAAAAACTCAAAACTTAGCCCGGGCGAGGGTGGCAGGCGGCCTGTAGTACCGCCAGCTACCGGGAGGCCCCTGAGCAGGAGAAATGGCGTGAACCCCGGGGAGGCGGCAGCTTGCAGTGACTGAGATCCGCCCACTGTCCACTCCCAGCCTGGGTGACAGAGCGAGACTCCCGTCTCTCCACAAAAATAACAAAAAAAAAAAAAAAAAAAAAAATTTGCTCAGTCCAGTAGTCCCTCAGCAGCATGGTCTAGAAACCAGCAAGTCGTGTCACCTGGTAAAAAGCGAGTGTTAGAAGTGCAGATCTTGAACCTTAACCCCTCAAACCTTCTGACTCAGAAACTGTAGCGGGGGTGGAGCTCAAACTGTTTTACACAGTTCCTCACAAAATGGTTTGGCATTAGCAGACTACATTGAGAAAGCACTGCTTTAATTCCCTTTTTTCCACTGGTACAAGGTAGCTGCCTTAGTTTTCAGCTCTTTTGTATTAGTGTCTAGGCTGTGCTAAGCAAGATACTATATAGATTATCGCTGGGCACGTGGCTTATGGCTTGTAACTCCCAGGCACTATGGGAAGCCGAGGCAAGGCCCCGCCGATCCGAGTTGCAGAAAAATCAAAAACGCATCCCTGGCTAACCACGGTGCAAACACTCCGTCTCTAACTAAAATAATACAAAAAAAATTAGCCAGGTGTCGTGCTGGGCGGGCACATGTAGACCGCTCCAGCTAGCTCCAGGGAGGCTGAGGCAAGAGAAATGGCATGAACGCTGGAGTGTGGAGCCTGCAATGCGCCCGAGATCCCGCGCCCACTGCATTCCAACTGGGCGAACAGAGCGAAACTCCATCTCAAAAAAAAAAAAGAGAAAAGCAAAATTTACCCACACTGGATGAAGGCTTTACAATGAATTTAATAGTGTTTTTACTGGTTCCTTGCTTGTAATGGTATTCAATTCAGAGTCTTATATTTTAGTTATAGTGTATTTTTTTTTTTTTTTTTTTTGAGATGGAGTCTCGCTGTGACATCTCCCTGACATTGTATTTAAAAAACCTATGTGTTACAGAATGGCAATAAAAGACCTAGTCCTTTAACCACAGGTAGTTTGAAAGGTTCTGCGCTAGACCGTTTGGTCAGAATGACCCCTTAATAAAACTATTTGATATAAATGGCTGTGACAGAGTTTGTAGATAAGGATCCAAGACCATTTCAAGATTGTAGGCAAATGGCCCAGATAGCTTACAACCTGTAGCTGAAAGCACTGCCCTTTAAGTTGTTCCTCATCCCTGTGGTTATAGCTGTGAAGTTGCTACTTATTTTCAGCCCTGGATATTTGAATAAGAATTAAATTTGATAATGTAAGTAAATAATACTTGGGTATTTAATAAATGACAGCTTTTTTATTCCTTTATATTTTTCTGAATTTATTTTCAGGCTTAATAATTGTCTCCAGTTTTACCTTTTTTCTCCTTAATTTTTTTATTGCAGAATTGAAGATGTTCCTGCTCCTTCTACATCTGCAGATGAAGTGGAGAGGTAAGATTATTTACATGGTATATAATTAGATTCATATCTGGAACATAAACTAAGAAATATAACTTTACAGTTTCATTGTTTTTGTTTTTTAATTTATTTTTGATAGAGGCAAGATGTTGCTTTGTTGCTCAGGCCAAAGTGCAGTGTGCAATCAGGGCTCACCATAACTTTGAACTCTTGGGCTCAAGCAGTCCTCCCACCTCAACCTCTTGAGTAGCTAGGACTATAGGCACATGCCACTACACTTGGGCTCCTTTTTTTTTTTTTTAAATTTTGAGACAGAGTCTCACTCTTTTTCAGGCTGGAGTGCAGTGGTGCAATCTCAGGCTCACTGCAAGCTCCACCTCTTGGGTTCACGCCATTCTCCTGCCTCAGCCTCCCTAGTAGCTGGGACTACAGGCGCCCATCGCCTTTTCCATTACACCGGACTAACTTTTTTTTGTTTTTACATTTGAGTTAGAGATCGGGGGGTTAGTTCTCAGTGGTGGTCCTTGATCTTTCTACCTGTCGCTTGATCCACGTTATGTTGGTTGAGTGTTTCCGTCTTCGGTCCTTCTCCGGAATAGTTGCTTGGATTATAGGGTGGCATGAGCCGAGCTAGCGCCCAGCTGTGGGGCCGACCGGTGTTCATTTTTAAAGTTTGTGTTGGGAGAGATAGGTTCTTGGCTATTTTGTTGCCATAGGTCTGTTCAGCCAGATCGCCTAGCCTCAGCAACTTCTTCTCTCTGCCTCTAGCTTCTAGCGCTGTTACGATTTCATTTAGATGTTATAGTACGTATCCAGTTGCCCGTCTCATCTCTTCCCCCTGTAACTCTTATCATCTTAATGCACTGTGGTTCTTTTGTTTTTCTAATCTCAGATCTACACTGTGCAGTGACTATGTTTCCCATTTTTATATATAAAATTCCATGTAGTGGGTCATAATAATTTATTACTACCAATAAGCTACCGCATAAATTGTAGAATGCTAAGGTTACATTCTCTAGGAGATTCCGTCTTATTTTTTAGAGACAGTCCTTTGGCTCTGTTGTCACAAGCTGGATACAGTGATGTGATTCATAGCGTTCACCACCACCATTTCGTGATACTCGTAGGCTAAAGTGGACTGGCTCGTCGCCTTAGCCCTCTCGAGGGAGAGCTGGGCCGGGATAGGGTGACATTGCATTCCTGACTCATATCCTGGCTAATATTTTTATTTTTTGGTTTAGGGTTTTGAGATGGAGTTCTGGCTCTCGGCTGCCTCAGTTTTGGCTGGGAGTGCAGAGGTGGTGCAATGCTGGCTCACTGCAACATCCTCTTCTTCCTGGGTTTCTAAGCCCAGGGATTCTTCCTGCCTCGTCTCACCAAGTAGTCTGAGATTACAGGCAGGTTGTCCACTACGCTGCTGGCTTACAATTTTTTTTATATTTTAATTAGTAGATGTGGTTTCACTCATTGTTGTTGGCCAGGGTGGTTTGACTCCCTGTACTTCAAAAAGGTGATCTGCCCACCTTGGCCTCCCAAAGTGTTGGGATTACAGGTGTGAGCCGCTGCGCCCGGCCGAATTTTCTTTTTCTTTTTTTTTTTTTTTGAGACAGAGTCTTGCTCTGTCGCCCAGGCTGGAGTGCAGTGGCGAGATCTCGGCTCATTGCAACCTCCGCCTCCCGGCTCCTGCCTCAGCCTCCCAAGTAGCTGGGATTACAGGTGCCCGCCACCATGTCCGGCTAATTTTTTTGTATTTTTAGTAGAGATGGGGTTTCACCATGTTAGTGAGAGTGGTCTCGATCTCCTGACCTCGTGATCCGCCCACCTCGGCCTCCCAAAGTGCTGGGATTACAGGCTTGAGCCACCGCACCTGGCCCACAAATACATTTTTTAAGTGTCTACAGGGTTTTATGTTTTTCATGTTTGAAATCCCATTGTCATCTTGGTTATTTAACCCTTTTCCCATTTGCCCCGAGAATACTTGCCGGTGGTGCTTGGGGCTGCAGCATTTACCCAGTGATAAATGCCATGAAATAGCTCTCCTTTATTATTTTCACATCACTCTAATATATCGATTTTGGATAAAAAGACATCATTCTATTTATAGCATTTGTTTTTAGTAATGGTATTTCCATTTACAAAATATGGTAATTCTCAATCACTATAAATGTCAAATCCTAGAAAACGTAGCATTCCTGTGTATGATGTTAACATTATTCTCAAATGGTTGTTGGCCAAAGATTCATTTGGTGAATCCAATTTTTCTGAAATAGACGATTCTGATGTTAGTTGTGTTGAGAAATAACTCCGGCCAGGCACGGTGGCTCATGTCTGTAATCCCAGCACTTTGGGTGGCTGAAGTGGGCTGATACTTGAGGTCAGGAGTTCAAGACCAGCCTGGCCAACATGGTGAAACCTTGTATCTACTAAAAATACAAAAATTAGCTGAGCGTGGTGGTGGGCACCTGTAATCCCAGCTACCTGGGAGGCTGAGGCAGGAGAATCACTTGAACCTCGGAGGTTGAGGTTGCAGTGAGCCAAGATTGTGCCACTGCACTCCAGCCTAAGTGACAGAGTGAGACTCTGTCTCCAAAAATAAATAAATAAGTCCAAGAACAGTTTTATATTTTTATTTTCACACTGAAAGTCAGATTTGCTTCAGCTTCAAAGAACATGTTCATGTAAAATTAAATGAGAGCTGGCAGCGAGCTGTACTATTTTTTTTTTTTCCTAAACGGGAAAAGGGTTAAAATAAATCTTATGAAATACTGTTTGGCTGGGTGTGGTAGCTTGCACCAGTAATCCCAACACTTTGAGAGGCCAAGCAAGACCTCCATCTCTGAGGGGATCACATGACCCCAGGAGTTTGAGACCAGCCTGGGCAACATAGCAAGACCCCATCTCTACCAAAAAAAATTTTTTAAAATTGTTCATTGTGACACTTGCATGTGGTCCCAGATACTGGGGAGGCTGAGGTAGGAGGATTGTGGCAAGCCCAGGAAGTCGAGGTTGTGGTGAGCTGTGATCCGGCCACTGCACTCTAGTCTGGGTGACAGAGTAAGACCCTGTCTCCAAAAACAAGGAAAGAAAAAAAATAGGGCTAGGTGCAGTGGCTTATGCCTGTAATCCCAGCACTTTGGGAGGCCGAGGTGGGTGAATCACCTGAGGTCAGGAGTTCAAGATCAGCCTGGCCAACATGGTGAAACCCCATCTCTACTAAAAAATACAAAAATTAGCATGGTGTGGTGGCGAGTGTCTGTAATTCCAGCTACTTGGGAGGCTGAAGCAGAAGAATCACTTGAACCTGGGAGGCGGAAGTTGCAGTCAGCCAAGATCACACTACTGTACTCCAGTCTGGGTGACGAGCGAAACTGCATCTCAGAACAAAACAAAACAAAATGTCTTGTGAGTTAATCTGGTATTTGGGTGGTATGAATACTGAATACTGTTTAGGATTGATCCTAAACACAATACTTTTAAGGGGGTTACTTAAACCATAGTATTTAAGTTTCTGGATTGACTAAATGAAGCTAGGCTACCCAAAACGCAGTGCTTGATATGTAATCATCAATATTAAACTCCATTGCCCAGGTTGGAATACAGTGGTGCGATCGTGGCTCACTGCACCCTTGACATTCCCTGGGCTCAGGTGATCCTCCTGCCTTAGCCTCCTGAGTAGCTAGGACCAGAGATGTGTGCCACCATGCCTGACTAATTTTTGTATTTTGTTTTTAGAGATGAGGTTTTGTCATGTTGCCCAGGCTGGCCTCAAACTCCTGGGGCTCAAGCCATCTTCTCACCTGAGCCACCCGAAGTGCTGGGATTACAGGCGTGTGAGCCACCATGCTTGGCATAAGCATTTGATTTTTCGAAGACCAGAGTATTCTGATTCTGAGAGAAACATGAAGGATGGTTGGAAAACACATTGTTAGTCTCACCTTAAATTTATAACCTCTGACCTAAAGTGCGTTTTTAGTTTTGATTGGCACTTATACCGCATTTCTCCAGTCAAGTTGTTTTCCCATTCTGCTGAACTGCTTAATCGTTCCTCCTTTTTTTTTCCTCCTTGAGTCAGGGTATTATTCAGCCACTCAGGCTGGAGTACAGTGGGTCCTGATCTTGGCTTGGTGCAGCCTCAAACTCCTGGGCTCAAGAGATCCTCCTGCCTCAGCCTCCCAGACTAAGTTTTTTTTGTGTGTTTTAGGGACAGGGTCTTATTATGTTGCCCAGGCAGGTCTTGAACTCCTGGCTTCCCTATGATGCTCCCTCCTCAGCCTCCCGAGTTGTTGGAATTACAGGCATGAGCCACGGCACCCAGTTGATCAACTTTTTCTTTATATTTTCTTAAACAGTCAACATCATACCCCTCATCTTGCTTTTTACCTGATGATTTTTCCTTTGTTTTATGTTTGGTTCTGGATTTTTGTTTGTTCACTGAATAAACAATACGAAGAGAAATTTCTTAACACTGTGCCATATATCTGTAGCCATATATTCTCTCCTTTTGAATGCCTTTTCATGCTCTTATTCAGCAGTTCTCAAAGTTTTTTTCTTGTATACCCTTCGGTCTCAAGTACTTTTTCAGGGATAATGTAAGATCAAAACTGTTTTTGTAATAATAAGACTGTCTTTTTGACCACTGGCACTGATCGTGCAAAAGTAATGGTGGATAAACCTGCTGTTCCCTTAACATAAATCAAGGCAGTGGCAACAAACAGTACTAGCAATTCTTGTGTTCTTCACTATCACCTTCACTTAGAAAATGTCCATGATGAAGCATTACAAACTTAAGTTTATTAATTCTCAGTCCTTGACTACGTGGCTTTAAGGTAACCTGGCAAAATAGGAATTATGGATGGAGCGCTTCAGCATATCAAAAGTAGGTACAATGGTTTTTTTTATGAAAAGCCCTTGTGTGATTTTAATTAAGAGTTGATTAAGCTTTTTTCATGTAACTTTATTTACTGGCTTTTATTGGAAAGAATGTTTTATTCAAAAGTTTTATTTTTGAAAGAATGACCAACAGACAAACTTTTATTTAGACTTGATACTTAGCAGATGTTTTCTCCAAAATGAATACAGTGAGCCTGTCACTTTAAGGGAAATAACTGACAGTATTGGTTCTAGTGATAGAATGTGAGCTTTCACATGAAAAATAAAAATTTTGGATAAGTTATATATCAACTGCTGTTGTGAGACTGACAGTATCCTAATACTTTATGACTGTTCTGATGAAATTGAGTTTTAAGTTGTGGTAAAATACACATAATATAAAATTTTCCATCTTTTTAAGTGTGTAAGTCAGTAGTGTTAAGTAAATTCACATTGTTGTATACCCAGTCTTATCTTGCAGATCTGAAACTATTACCCAGTAAAAACTCCCTCTTTCTGTCTCCCCTAGCAACCACCATTCTGCTTTCTGTCTCTATGAATTTGGCTACTTTAGGTACCTCATATAAATGGAATAATAGAATATTTACCTTTTTGTGACTGGCTTATTTCACTTAGCATAGTGTTCTTAACGTTCATCCATGTTGTGGTGTGTCAGAATTTCCTTGCTTTTTATTGTGAGTACTGCTGCTGTGACCTTGGGTTTATGTAATCATTCATAAGTAGAAGATCTAGAATACAAGATAGACTGGTTTTTAATGTACCAGTATGAGAAGTTCATCAGTGTTTTCAGATTGTACAGTACAACTAACCTTTAAGAAATTACCACTTTGTTGGTCAAGTGTGGTGGCTCACGCCTGCATCCCAGTACTTTGGGAGGCTGAGGCGGGAGGATCACTTGAGGTCAGGAGTTTGAGATCAGTTTGGCAAACATGGTGAAACCCTGTCTCTAGTAAAAATACAAAAATCAGCCGGGCATGGTGGCATGCACCTGTAATCCCTGCTACTCAAGTGGCTGAGGCAAGAGAATCGCTTGAACCCAGGAGGCAGAGGTTATAGTGAGCCAAGATCGCGCCACTCCAGCCTGGGCAATAGAGTGAGAGGCTGTTTCAAAAAAAATAAATAAATAAATAAATTACCACTTGTTGACTGGGCATGGTGGCTCCTGCCTGTAATCCCAGCACTTTGTGTGGCCAAGGTGGTGGATCACTTGAGGTCAGGAGTTTGAGACCAGCCTGGCCAACATGGTGAAACGGTCTCTACTAAAAATACAAAAATTAACTGGGTGTGGTGGTGCCCTCTTTTAATCCCAGTTACTGGGGAGGCCGAGGCACAAGAATGGCTTGAACCCAGGAGGTGGAGGTTGCAGTGAGCTATTGTGCCACTGTACCCCAGCCTGGGTGACAGAGCAAGACTTTTTTTTTTTTTTTTTTTTTTTAAAGACAAGTGACCACTTTGTTGGGTTTGGGTGTGGTAACAGAAGTATATCCAGTTATCTGAAAGGACTATTTAAATATTAAATATTCCCTTTCCAACTGCATATCTATGTCAAGTCAGATATTCTTGTACTTTAATGAAAAGAAAACATTGCAGAATAGTGAATAGGGAAATCCTGTTCTACTAACAGACATTTAGGAGATTTGTAAAAATGTAACATCGCCACTATTCTTACCAAATTTTTGTTTTGAAGAGTTACTTTTCAGAGAAAGTCATGTTATTAACATGTAACATTTTAAAATATTTAAAATTATTTTAGTTTTAATTTCAGTATGGCGAATACTGATAGGTGTAACTTGCATACACAGAGGCTTTTGGAGGGCTTCAGTAATGTAACAGTGTAAAGGATCCTGACATCAAAGTTTTTTTGCTCTTACGTAACACCAGCATCTCCATTTGTTCACAAGATCCCACTCATTGTTTACTTAATAATAGAACTCCTGTAGTTCTCTATACAACAATACTATTGTTTCCTATGAGATTACTTATATCAACCCACTAGGTATCATCAGGTTTAACCGTTTGTTGACCCCCTCATACTTCCCTTCATCTGTTACCTCACATCAGTTTCTTTGACAGGAAAATGTGAAAGAGGTGTCCACTCTGTTTCTCTACTACTGCTTTTGTTATTAATTGAAGCTACTTCAATCAAGTTTTTCTCTACCATTCTACTAAAATAGTCTTGTTTACGGTCTTTAATACCATCCATATTCCTAGTAGTCATCTCTCAGCTCTCTGAGTTAATCTTGTCTTTAACATTTGACCCAATCCATTACTTCCATTACTTTTTCCCGTTACGTTTTTTATTTTTATTTTTATTTATTTATTTATTTTTGAGATGGAATCTTGCTCTGTCACCCAGGCTGGAGTGCAGTGGCACGATCTTATCTCACTGCATCATCCTCCTCCCAGGTTCAAGCAATTCTCCTGCCTCATCCTCCCAAGTAGCTGGGATTACAGGCGTGCACCACCGTGCCCAGCTAATTTTTGTATTTTTAGTAGAGACAGGGTTTCGCTGTGTTGGCCATCCACTGTGCCCGGCCCCGTTACTTTACTTCATACTATTTTCTTGTCTCTTTTCCTTCACTGGCTATTCCCCCAACCCCTGTTCTTCCTCATCTCCCCTATCTAAATATTGGAAGGCTTCCAGGACTCAGCCAGTCCTACAACCTCTTTATTAGTAGCCACTCCCTATGTATTCTCCCCGGTTAAGTCCCGTAGCTTTAAGTACCTGACTCTCCCATTTGTATCTCTAGTCCCCATATCTCTCCCAAATTTCCCCTTATAATATCTTGGAGGCCTAATAGGGATCTCAGAATTAACATATCCAAAGCTAAATACAGTAATTGATTGCCTTGTTTCTCAATTTTTCCTTCAGTTGACTTTTTATTAGACAGTGGCAATGTTGTTCTAGAATTTTTCATCTAGATTGTGTAGATTTGAATCGCTGCCATTAGTATTGAGTTTTCCATCTGTAAAGTGGGGGTAATAATTCAATAATTTTATGAGGTGAAGATCCTAGGGTTTAAATGTAGGTAAAATTTCTACATCGTCCATTATTAACACTTAATACCAGTTGCCCAGGCCAAAAAAGTTTGCTTTATCTCTCACTCTTTTATTCAATAAATATAAACCTAGTCCATTAGCAGATTTTATTTATTTTTATTTTTATTTTTATTTTTTGAGACGGAGTCTTCCTCTGTCGCCCAGGCTGGGGCACAGTGGCCGGATCTCAGCTCACTGCAGGCTCCGCCTCCCGGGTTTATGCCATTCTCCTGCCTCAGCCTCCTCCCAAGTAGCTGGGACTACAGGCACCCGCCACCTCGCCCGGCTAGTTTTTTGTATTTTTTAGTAGAGACGGGGTTTCACTGTGTTAGCCAGGATGGTCTCGATCTCCTGACCTCGTGATCCGCCCGTCTTGGCCTCCCAAAGTGCTGGGATTACAGGCTTGAGCCACTGCGCCCGGCCCATTAGCAGATTTTAAAATAAGTATATTCAGAATCTAATCTCTAATACTCCTCAGGTTCTTGTCTAGATTTTTAGTTTCTTTCTTTCCTTTTTTTTTTTTTTTTAAAGAGAGAAAGAGGGGGTTTTTTTTTTTTTTTTTTTTTTTGGACATAGGGTCTTGCTCTGTTGCCCAGGCTAGAGTGGAGCAGCATGATCCTAGTTCACTGCAGCCTTGAATTCCTGGGCGCAAACAGTCCTCCTTCCTTAGATTCCTGAGTAACGAGGACTGCAGGTGCACACTGTGATGTCAGCTAATTTTTGTATTTTCCTGTAGAGATGCTAGTCTCGAACTCCTGGGCTCAAGTGATCCTCCCACCTTGGCCTCCTGAAGTGCTGGGATTACAGGCATGAGCCACCATGCTCAGCCTTAGACTTTTTCTTTTTTTCTTTTTTTTTTTTGAGATGGAGTCTCGCTCTGTCACCCAGGCTGGAGTGCAGTGGCACAATCTCGGCTCCCTGCAACCTCTGCCTCCCTGGTTCAAGCAATTCTTCTGCCTCAGTCTCCCAAGTAGCTGGGACTACAGGTACACACCACCACGCCCGGCTAACTTCTGTATTTTCAGTAGAGATGGGGTTTCACCATGTTGGTCAGGCTGGTCTCGAACTCCTGACCTTGTGATCCATCTACCTCAGCCTCCCAAAGTGCTGGGATTACAGGCATGAGCCACCACAGCCCGGCCAGACTTCTTTCCAACTGGTTTTCTCCCCAGTTCTATTCTTGTTCTGTCTTAAAGTCTATACTAACGTGATGCTGCTCTCTCCCTCTTCCCTTTTATTTCCTATATTCTTCCCCAGCTTAGTCTAGCCAGAAAAGTTTTCTGTTTTTCAAATATTTCAAGCAAGCTTCTTTTAGAGCTTTGAACTTACTGTTGCCTCTGCCCTAGAGTGCTTTTCCCTTGTTTTTTTTTTTTTTTTCCCGGCTTACCTTAAGTTCTCTGCTTCAATTTGACATTGTCCATGTGGTCTTAGCTCATTCTTGTTATAATCACAGTGTCTTGAATTGTGCCCAACAATATTAGGTGCCCAAGTATTGTTGATTGAATTAAGAAGAGGGATTATCCTTCCAAATAATTTGGTTTTCATTAATGGAACTTAGAATATCAGTGACTCTTGCTCTTTTGACCCAGGTTTTTCTTAAAGCTGTAAGAAACATTAAATAAAGGTCTAATTGACACACAGGAAACTGCACATAACTTTAAAGTAACAATTACGAGTTTCTACATATGTATATACACCTGTAAACCATTATCACAATCAAGATAATGAGCATATTCATCACCTCAAAGTTTCCTCATGTGCCTTTGTACTTCATTCCCTCCCCAGCAACCATTAATCTGCTTTCTGTCACTGAAGATGGGTTGCATTTTGTAGAATATTATCTAAATAGAATCATACAGTAAGTACTGTTTCTTTTTGTATAGTTTCTTTGATTCAGCATAATTATTTTGAGATTCATCCATGTTACCACGTGTATTAATAGTTCATTCTTTTTATTAGTGAATGACATTTCATGATGTAGATATATCACAATTTGTTTATCCATTTGGGTTTCCAGTTTTTGGCTTACAAATAAAGCTGTTGTGAATATTTGTGTACAAGTCTTTGTATGGGCATTCATTTCCATTTTTTGGGTCCATACCTAGGAGTGGAATGGCTGGATCATATGGTAGGTATATATCTAACTTTAAGAAACACCCAAACTGTTTGCTAAAGTGATTCTATCATTACATTATTACCAGCAGTGTTTGACAGTTCTAGTTGCCCTACATCCTCACCGTCATTTGATGTGTGGTCAGTCTTTTAAAATTTTAGCCATTATAGTGAGTATAACAGTATCTTATCATGGGTTTAGTTTGTATTTTTTTGAGTGACCCATAATGTTGGCATCTTTTCATGTGCTTATTTGCCATCCATGTATCTTTGATGACATGTTTGTTAAAATCTTTCGCCCCCTTTTTATTGGATTATTATTGCATTCTAAGAGTTCTTTATATATTCAAGTCCTTTATCAGAAGTTTTGCATATATTTTCTACCAGTTTGGCTTGCCTTTTTTGTTTTTATAATAGTGTCTTTCAGAATCAAAAGTTTTTCATTTTAATGGTATGTCTACTTTATTGATTTTTTTTTCCTCTTGTTAATAGTTTGTGCTTTTTCTTTCATATTCAGGAAGTCTTTGCCAAACCCAAAGTCACTAAGATTTTTATCCTATAGTTCCTTGTATAAATTTTATGGTTTAAATCTTATATTTAGATAGCCTATGATCCATTTCAGATTAATTTTTGTATGAGGTATAGATAACAGTTGAGGTTCACTTTATTGCATGTGGATTTATAATTACTCCAGCACCATCTGTTAGAAAGATTATCCATTCCCCATTGCATTTCCTTGGTACTTTGTCAAAATTTCAATTAGTTGTATATGTGTGGATCTGTTTTTGTACTCTGTGTTCTGTTTGATCCATTTGTTTTTCTTTATGCCAATACTACATTGTCTTAATCTTAAAATCACTGCCTCTTGCCCTGTTTACCTAAATGCTTCCTAATAATTCTTTTAGCTAGTACAATTTGTATGAATTTATGGTTCTTTTATGATACCTTTTTTATTTGTTGCTTAATTAGCAAATATTTATAGTAATACAATACAGGCTTTGTGAGTAGATGAGCCGTTACGAGAAAATATTCTAGTCAAGCTTCTGGGAATGTTGCCTTTAAGATTTCTTTTGATTTTTGTGATGGTAAATAAGTGTGTTAGCCAGGCCTTGCCAGAGTAGTCCAAAGGTTTTAAAAAATTAAACTATTGTTCAAATATAGCAGGTATTCAAATAATACTGATTTAAACAGTACTTGACACTAGAAAAAAATCTTTTTCTTGCAGTCTGGATGTGGATAGTGAAGCTAAGAAACTATTGGGTTTAGGACAGAAACATCTGGTGATGGGGGATATTCCAGCAGCTGTCAATGCATTCCAGGAAGCAGCTAGTCTTTTGTAAGTATTGTATATTTTGCTATGATATAATATTATGTTCTAATAAACCTTGAGTTATAAAAAGTTATTTTATGGGGAAAACACATGAAGAGCAAGAGTTTTAAAACATTTGATTATTTTTCATGTGGTTTGTACCAGTAACTATAAGTGTAAAACTTTAAATATCACCAAGCAATTCCACCCTTTCATTTTCTTGAGTAATGTAATTTATATTCCAACCACTGCTAATTTAGGTGACCATACCTTGTCCTGGTTTGTCTAGGACCTCGCTCCCCACCCTCCCCTGCTTTTTTTTGTTGTTGTTGAGACAGGGTCTCTGTCATCCAGGCTGGAGTGCAGTGGCACAATCTCATGCTTACTGTAGCCTCAACCTCCCAGGCTCCCCAGTAGCTGGGACCACAGGTGTGTGCCACCATGCCCAGCTAATTTTTGTATTTTTTTTTGTAGAGATGGGATTTCCCCACATTGCTCAGGCTGGTCTCGGAAGTCTTGGGCTTAAGCCACCTTGGCCTCCCAAAGTGCTTTGTAAAGGGATTACAGGTGTGAGCCACTGAGCCCAGCCTGACTTTCCCAATTTTAACACTGGAAGTTTGTGTCTATGGAAACTCTTTAGGCCCAAGCAAGTCATGATTGATAGCGCTATTATTAGCACAGCATTTTTTCATACATTTTTAGCACATTTTCATACATTCTTAGCACTGTTGTTGGAATTGCTTAGAAGTTGGTAGCTACCACCAGGTAGCCATGTAGACCTATATCCTGGAGGAAAATGTTAGCTTTAGGGCCTTAAAGATCATTTATTTTCCCCCAAAGACTTTAATGTACCTCCATTATCTGAGAGGGGAAAAAAAAAAGTTAAATCTTCAAGCATCAGGCTTTTGGTTTATGGCTAGATTTGAGTTAGTTTCCTCAAATATAGTATTAGCAATTGGAATTGAAGGTCAGTCATTACATACATTACATACAGTTGATTACATTACGTACAGTTAAGTTAAATGTTCCTTATAAAAGAAATGGTTATAACAAAGCATTTGTGGGTTTCAGGTTTGATGCTTAATATCAATCCATTCTTTTCCTAACCCCCTACTGCCTCTCCCGATATCCAGAACAGAATCTTACTCCTGGATATCTGCAATAATCTCTTGTCTGATTCCTGTCCTCTTTGTTCCTCTCTGCTTGAGCTTAATGAATTGGAGCTCTGGTAGGGTAGAGACCAAATTTTATCTGGTAGTATTTAGGGAATTTTATTTTTTTAAATTTTTTTTTGAGATGGAGTTTCACTCTTGCTGCCCTGGCTGGAGTGCGACGGCGTGATGTCAGCTCACCGCAACCCCTGCCTCCCGGGTTCAAGTGATTCTCCTGCCTCTACCTCCCGAGTAGCTGGGATTACAGGCATGCAACACCACGCCTGCCTAATTTTATATTTTTAGTAGAGATGGGGTTACTCCATGTTGGTTAGGCTGGTCTCGAACGCCCAATCTCAGGTGATTCACCTGCTTCCGCCTCCCAAAGTGCTGGGATTACAGGCATGAGCCACTGTGCCCAGCTGAATTACGTATTTTTATTTAAAAATGCATGGTTGTCTTACAACATAAAATGTTACCTAAGTTTTTAAGCACACATAAACACTTTTTTCTTAGGTTATTTTTCCCAGATTACTGGAGAGGTCAGTATTCCCACGTTTTCCTGCCATTAAGGGTATTTAGGAAGAAAATTTGAGATGTCCTATTCTAATCTAGTAGACTACCCTTAAACATGACCTCCATCACAATTTACTGCTTAGGTTGTCTGTTTACTCTCAGTAGACTCTTAGGCCATTAGTTGGCCTGGCTTTGCATGAATTCTGTCAGTATTTCACTCCATGAAAGCCAGTCTTCTTACCTTACATAGAAAAGTACTTTCTCCTTTCATTTATTTGTTCATTGTTTTTTTTTTTTTTTTGAGACAGAATCTCGCTCTGTCGCCCAGGCTGGAGTGCAGTTGCCGAATCTCAGCTCACTGCAAGCTCCGCCTCCCGGGTTCACACCATTCTTCTGCCTCAGTCTCCCGAGTAGCTGGGACTACAGGTGCCCACCACCTCGCCCGGCTAGTTTTTTTGTATTTTTTTTAGTAGAGACGGGGTTTCACTGTGTTAGTCAGGATGGTCTCGATCTCCTGACCTTGTGATCCACCCGTCTCGGCCTCCCAAAGTGCTGGGATTACAGGCTTGAGCCACCGCGCCCGGCCTTTTCCTTTCATTTATTATACTTATGTAATTTTTGTCCTTCCTTCTCTAAATTTAATAGCTAAGACTTATACACAGTGCTATTTGTTGTCTAAACATTGTTTTCAGTGCTTTTACATACATTAATAACTCATTTAGTTCTTGCAACAGCTCTTTGAACAAACAGTTATTAACATTCCCATTTACAGATGAGAAAACTAAGGCACTGTGAGAATAATTTGTCTGAGGTCTCACAGCTAGTTATGGGTTAAAGGTAGGATTTGAATCCAGGTAAAACAGCTCCAGATATTCTGCACTTTACATCATGCCTTTCCATGGGCCTTAATCATCCTCTAGGTCCCAGCCAAAGGTCCTTTAACTACTCTGGTCTATATTGACATCCGTCTTTTAGCAGGAGGAATACCTATTAATACCTTAGGGTTGTTTGGCCCTACATTATATATTACTAATTGTAGCACAATTATTTCACTTACGATGTGTATATGTTATATATTGATAAAGAGCATACAAGATTTTCATGCATTGTTTAACGTCGCTTTGACCTTGACTTGAAAGCAAGAGGGGTATTGGTTTCCTAGGAGTATGTTACTGGAGAAATACCAATTTATAACTGAAGAACTAGAACTAAATGTTTTAGACTAGATGGTAATTCAGATTTTAGATTTTTATTCTCTTTGTAGAGGTAAGAAGTATGGAGAGACAGCTAATGAGTGTGGAGAAGCCTTCTTTTTCTATGGGAAATCACTTCTGGAGTTGGCAAGGTATGGATGTTGTATTTAAAAACTGAAGTTTCCTTGTTAGGATTGTTTTTACTAGCTTTGAGATTTCACAGGAACTAAGCAAGATTGCTTTTACCTAGAGAGTTTTGAAGGAGCTTGAAGTAGTGATCGAAGTTGTGAATGGCACTTGATACAATTAGTAGTTATATTTAAATTTTGACTTCTGGAGTCAATTAGGAGCAAAGATCTTTCTGATAGTAAATGATCCAAAGTTCAATGTAGGGAGAGAATCCTTAAAAGCACTGTGAGCTAGCTCAAAACAAGGACTGAATAGAGGACAACTGGAAAGAATTAGCAGGTGAGACTGTCGAGTAAAAAAGACTCTTACTATTGAAAAGTTCTTGGCTATGTTCTATCAGAATTTATTAACCAGAATAAGTTCTGTTTAGGGTATACAAACCAGCAAATGATATCATCTATTTAATCTCAGTTCTGGTAAGTTTTTTTTTTTTTGAGATGGAGTCTCACTCTGTCACCCAGACTGGAATGCAGTGGCATGATCTTGGCTCACTGCATCCTCCATCTTCCGGGTTCAAGTGATTCTTCTGCCTCAGCCTCCTGAGTAGCTGGGACTACAGGCGCGTGTCACCACACCCAGCTAATTTTTTATTTTTAGTAGAGACAGGGTTCAGCGTGTTGGTCAGGCTGGTCTTGAACTCCTGACCTCAGGTGATTCACCCACCTCAGCCTCCCAAACTGCTGGGATTACAGGCGCGAGCCACTGCACCTGGCCCAGTTCTGATAAGTTGTGTTTTTTTTGTTTGTTTTGTTTTAAGACGGAGTTTCACTCTTGTCACCCAGGCTGGAGTGCAGTGGTGCGATCTCCGCTCACTGCAACCTCTGCCTCCCAGGTTCAAGCGATTCTCTTGCCTCAGCTTCCTGAGTAGCTGGGATTACAAGCCTACGCCACTATGTCCAGCTAATTTTGTATTTTTAGTAGAGACGGGGTTTCTGCATGTTGGTCAGGCTGGTCTTGAACTCCCGACCTCAGGTGATCTGCCTGCCTCCGCCTCCCAAAGTGCTGGGATTATAGGCGTGAGCTACCATGCCTGGCCTCTGGTAAGTTTTTAATCTCATAATCATATAGAACTTTCTCATGATTTGCCATGAAAATCTTGCTAGAGCATTTTTGGCTATTTAGAGAAATGGGTGGATACAGAGTTTGGGAAATAGTGTGGTTCTGTTACAAATGGAATGCATATAGGTCTTGTTCTTTTGACAAGAGACATCACGCTTTTCAGCGGCTGGATGGAGGAGTAGAGTATGCTTATTTCCTTTCAGTGCTCTTGCAGTCTTGATTTATATTACTAAGGTTTTGTTCATTGCTTCCTTGAATATAATATAGTTATATATTGCCTGCGCTTGGCTTACTCTTCCCTTTTATAATACAGGACTATATTTTCTGTCTTAGAAAAAATTGCTAGGTTCTAGCCATCAAACCTTTGGTGCTTTCTCTTGTTCTCCTAGAATGGAGAATGGTGTGTTGGGAAACGCCTTGGAAGGTGTGCATGTGGAAGAGGAAGAAGGAGAAAAAACAGAAGATGAATCTCTGGCAGAAAATAATGATAATATAGATGGTATGTGGAGTTGCATGTGACATTCAAGAGATGCGACGTTGTATATTTCTTGTATACAGTGGTGGAAACAGGGCTCTACCTGTCCTGGATGGTCTCTCCTAGGATGCTTGGGGTGATGCCTGCATCGGGTAGAGATTGCAGTGGGGGTAGCTGTTTACTGAAACTGACAGCAGATTTTTCTAAGAGAATAACTTAATCTCTTAAGTAAATTTGGTTATTTCAGTTGGGGTTTTTTAAACCAAAAAGATAAAAGCAAGATTAAATTGGTGTTTTAAATACTATTACAACCTTAAATATTTTTCTGATGCAAAATTTTTAAAAACAGCCTGTGCAGTTCAGTTATTTTAATAGCGGTACTTTTAGAGCCCTTGTACATTTTTTATGTCTGCGAAAATTATATAATTTCTAAGCTGAATTTGGCTGCTAGAGTTTTACATATCAGTTGGGGGAGAATGAAAAACTTGGCATCTCTTACCTAACTGGTAATCAGAATGCTCAAGTAAAACAAAAGTTTAACAAGCTTGGGTTTCTTTTGCAATAAGTTGCTCTGCTAGCTGGGACGCTCCCTTTCCTTTTCTCTAGGGGGCAGATAGTTTTAAGGCCATCTGCTAAAACTTGGTAGGCTTTTTGAGGGTTTAAAGGGAATGTATTTTTAGTTTCCATTTATGCCTTTATCATTAAACTCGAAGACATGTTTATGCTTCATGTTCTTTAACCATGTAGAGGAAGCAAGGGAAGAGTTGAGAGAACAGGTTTATGACGCCATGGGAGAAAAAGAAGAAGCCAAAAAAACAGAAGACAAGTCTTTGGCAAAGCCTGAAACTAATAAAGAACAGGACAGTGAAGTGAAGAAGGGTGGAAGAGAAGATATGGATATAAGTGAATCTGCAGAGGAGCCACAGGAAAAAGTTGACTTGACTCTAGATTGGTTAACTGAAACCTCTGAAGAGGCAAAAGGAGGAACAGCACCAGAAGGACCGAATGAAGCTGAGGTTACTTCTGGGAAGCCAGAACAGGAAGCGCCAGATGCTGAGGAAGAAAAATCAGTTTCTGGAACTGATGTCCAAGAAGAGTGCAGAGGAAAAGGTCAGGAGAAGCAGGGAGAGGTAATTGTGAGCATGGAGGAGAAGCCAAAAGAAGTTTCAGAAGAGCAACCTGTGGTGACTGTAGAAAAGCAGGGCACTGCAGTGGAGTTAGAAGCAGAGTCTTTAGACCCAACAGTCAAGCCAGTGGATGTGGGTGGGGACGAGCCAGAGGAGAAGGTAGTTACCTCTGAACATGAGGCAGGAAAGGTGGTTCTTGAACAACTGGTAGGTCAAGAAGTGCCACCTGCTGAAGAGTCACCAGAGGTGACAACAGAGGCTGCAGAGGCCTCAGCTGTAGAGGCTGGATCAGAAGTCTCTGAAAAGCCTGGGCAGGAGGCTACAGTTCTCCCTAAGGATGGTGCAGTCAATGGACCGTCAGCTGTAGGAGATCAGACTCCTATTGAACCACAGACTTCTATAGAAAGACTGACAGAAACAAAAGATGGCTCAGGACTAGAGGAGAAGGTCAGGGCAAAGCTGGTTCCTAGTCAGGAGGAGACTAAGCTGTCTGTAGAAGAGTCTGAGGCAGCTGGAGATGGGGTTGATACCAAGGTAGCCCAGGGAGCTACTGAGAAATCAACTGAAGACAAAGTTCAGATAGCTGCTAATGAAGAGACACAAGAGAGAGAAGAACAGATGAAAGAGGGTGAAGGTAACCGGGATATGCAAGAGCTGCAGTGGGTGGAGTACATTCTGGATTTGACTCACTAATTATGGGTAAAAGTCAGCCTTCCATTCAGGATTTTCCGTCTGCCTTTGGATTAGGAAAGGGCTAAATGCAAAGGGGGGTAGTTTAACAAGGTTGTGCTAGTCAAGTAAGTTAAATCAAAAGCAGCAAGTGTTCTTTAGTTGGCTTATAAACTAACATTTTTACTAACTGCAAAATAGGCCTTCTCTGTGATTTCTGAGACTTGGCTAGCTATCAGTAACTTGTTGCATCATACTAGCCAATAAAGTGGGATGGAAAAGGTAGATGAGGGGTGGGGTAGGTAGGGAAATAGTGGGCTAGTAGGCTGGCAGAGAATGCTGAATGGATGTTCACTTGCATGCCTCTGGATTTTGAAATTTATTGTTCACATGACTCCTTTTCTGTGTGTTAGTAAGCAGGAACAGAGCAGTAGAATCCACTGAATTGGTACACTGAAGCAGGCATGCCATTTAAATGAAGATAGTTAACCTTGACTGTTGTATCACCAGAGTTAAAGAATTCTGGTGCTCCTCTCTACCTTTAAGTCTTCAGGAAGTGTTTAGAGGCTTATTCACATTAGTTAAAACAGGCCCCCCACCACCTTCCCCAAGGCAACAAAAAACAGAACCATTAGCTCTCTTGCTGCTTTCCTTCCTCATTTCATGCTTGCTTCGGCTGCTAAACTGAATTTTTTGTTACTTAGAATATCATAAAGTGTGGATGCTTTCTATAATGCTATTGGTCTAATTGTGATTAAATTTCATTAAGATGTTTAAGCCTCTAATTACTACATAACTGGCAAGTCTGACTTTTGCTATCATTTGAGGATTCTACTGTATATAAGGTTCATCTAACATTGGCATTAATAACCACAGGTATATTCCAACTAATGGTTACTTCTTGTAATTGCCAGACTACTTCAAGAGTTCTCTTCAGTTTTAGATTTTCAGAGACCCATCTTCAATACTTTGAGCTCATTCTTGTAAACTTCCTTCCACTATGTGCAGGTCCCTGTACTCCAGCCAGCACAGGCTCAGTAACTGGAAATGAATTGGCTAAAATGGTAGCACCATTGGGTTTCTTTTCTTTATGGAAAAAAGCACAGAACTAAATTCCTAAAAAAAAAAAAAAAAAAAAAAAAAAAAAAAACCCAAAACAAAACTCCCATGTCTTGATCTTAATGATTGTGAGCAAGCTCTGCTGACTGGCTCCTAAGACCTTGAATGGTAAGCTACGATAGAGATGTCATAGTAGGATCGTAATTAACATTGTTAGAGCTCTCTCACATACATTACATCTGATCCTAAAACAATACTATGTGGTAGGTAGTAGTGCCCAAGTTATAGTGATGAGGTTGAAGTTTAAAGGTTACATGACTTGTTTAGGGTCATAGTACTGAATCCAAACCAAGATCTGCCTTGAATATATTATTCTTCCCAAGTTACCACACATCAAAGAAGACCGTGTTCATCCCTTTCCTACACTCAGTTAGAAATTTTGTTGTGGGCTGGGTGACAGTGTTCATCGCTTTCCTACACTCATTTAGAAATTTTGTTGTGGGCCGGGTGCAGTGGCTCACGCCTGTAATCCCAGCACTTTGGGAGACTGAGGTGGGCGGATCACCTGGTCAGGAGTTTGAGACCAGCCTGGCCAGTATGATGAAACTCCGACTCTATTAAAAATACAGAAGTTATCCGGACATGGTGGCATGTGCCTGTGGTCCCAGCTACTCAGGAGGCTGAACGAGAAGAATGGCTTGAACCCGGGAGGCAGAGGTTGCAGTGAGCCGAGATCATGCCACTGCACTCCAGCCTGGGCAACACAGCAAGTCTCTGTCTCAAAAAAACAAAAACAAAACAAAAAGAAATTTTGTCACTTACTTTAAAAATTAACTATATTTGAAAAGCCCCAGGCTTTTCATATGCTGCATCTTTTGGTGTTGTATATCAAGTATTGTTCTGCTTGTAAAGACAATACAGTTTTCCGTACTTTACAAAAGAAGAAATGGGAGAAAGGGGTTTAAGTAATTTACCCTAGTCACACAGTAAGGAGAAGGCTGGGTACCCAAACTTCTGGCTCGAGTACTCAACCACTTTCTGTGCTTTATTTTCCTTTACGTGGCAGCACCATTCTGCAGAAATCTTCCAAGCAGTTTTTTCACTTAAAAATTAAAACCCTATTTACTGCCACCTCTTGACTCTTTGCCATGTGTTGGACTGTACATTTCCTTCTAATAAAGATAATTGGTCTGTTACTTTTCTTTTTGAATCGGGTCTTGCTCTTTTGCCAGCCTGGAGTGCAGTGGCATGACAGTCATGGCTCACTATAGCCTCAAACTCCTATGCCGAAGCCATCCTCCTGCCTCAGCCTCTCAGGCAGCTGAGACTGCAGGTGTGCACCACCATGCCCAGCTGGGGTGCAATGGTGTAATCTCAGCTAACTGCAACCTCCACCCCCCAGGTTCAAGCATTTCTCCTACCTCAGCCTCCCGAGTAGCTGGGACCACAGACACATGTCCCCAGGCCTGACTAATTTTTTTGTATTTTTAGTAGAGATGGAATTTCACCGTGTTGACCAGGTTGGTCTCGAACTCCTGACCTCAGGTGATCCACTAGCCTCAGCCTCCCAGAGTGCTGGGATTACAGGTGTAAACCATAGCACCTGGCCCACCATACACCATTATCTTTTCATATCCAAATTTCCAAGTGGGTCTGGGCTTAGTTCCCCAAAGTTAGACCAGATGGATGGTTTTATTAACTCCGCCCATCCTCTAGCAGAATACGCAGAAAAGCTGAAGTAGATTTACATATTTAGGATAATTGACAGAAAAGTAAATACTTCACCTTCCCAATGTGTAGGAAAAATTAAATTGATATTGTTATCTTCTATTCCTATCTGGTATCTCTTCCTACTCATACCAGAATGCTAGAAGACAACCTCTAATTTGAAACAAAGTATCTTAATTACTTGGAAGTTTTACATCAAATTTTTAAGTTAAAATTCCTATAATTGCCTCAGAAGAATGTTATTGGTTCCTCTTGAGGAATCGGTACCATCTTCAAGGAATGGTGGGGAGCTAGGTTAAGGAGAAAGCCATTGCCATTAGCTTCTTTTTTTGGAGACGGAGTCTTGCTCTGTCACCCAGGCTGGAATGCAGTGGCATGATCTAGGTTCACTGCAACCTCCACCTCCCGGGTTCAAGCGATTCTCTTGCCTCAGCCTTCTGAGTAGCTGAGACTACAGGTGCATGCCACCATGCCTGGCTAATTTTTTGTATTTTTAGTAGAGATGGGGTTTCATTGTGTTAGCCAGGATGGTCTCAATCTCCTGACCTCATGATCCTCCTGCCTTGGCCTCCCAAAGTGCTGGGATTACAGGTGTGAGCCACTGCGCCTGGTAGTCGTTGCCATTACTTTAAAACCTTTCCCAACCCGTGCCCAGGTATCAATGGCAATGCCCTGATGTCCTCAGTAAATAAATTTGTTAAAGTATTTTCTAAGCTTCTTTGAAAATGGAATATTTTTTTGGTTGCTGCTGGTAAAACTCTTTTAACCTGACTATTGCTCTAAGGCCTAATTGCCATTTTTATATTCCCATTGTAAGGTGTTAGTATTTGAGCTCTTTTGGTGGTGGTAAAAATGCATAATGTAAGATGGCAGAGAGAGGTACATTATATCCAATTCATGAGTTGTTTGTATTAAAAAGCTTATTTTAACCACTTAACATTGTTGATTTGTCTAATCACTGACAGTAGAGCTGTTGATTAGGAGCCTGACCTTTAGATGGTTGACTTGTGAGTGTATTCAATATGGTGAGATATAGTGTTGATAAGGCTGCAGATTTTAGAGGTGTCATTAACAAGGTATAGGAGTAAAATAGGAGTTATAGTATTTCTTACTCAAATTCTGTACGTGCTAGAGCTGGCTGGAGTCTGTGACATGCTCATTGGTGTAAGTCGGTAAGGACTATGCTTTTTGCTCCACAGCTCAGTTGTGGGAAAGCTAGTCTCTTGAGCATTCTTGATCAGAATGGACTGGAATCATTTAACTTTGGTACTTTCTCAGGCTGTTAGTATTATCAAATGAATGGCTTAAAGATATCAGAGGCCGGGCGCAGTGGCTCACGCCTGTAATCCCAGCACTTTGGGAGGCCGAGGCTGGCGGATCACAAGGTCAGGAGATCGAGACCATCCTGGCTAACTCGGTGAAACCCCGTCTCTACTAAAAATACAAAAAATTAGCCGGGCGTGGTGGCGGGCGCCTGTAGTCCCAGCTACTCGGGAGGCTGAGGCAGGAGAATGGCGTGAACCCGGGAGGCGGAGCTTGCAGTGAGCCGAGATCACGCCACTGCACTCCAGCCTGGGCAACAAAGCGAGACTCCGTCTTTTTAAAAAAAAAAAAAAAAAATCTATCAGAAACACTGACTGAGGTCTCCACCTGCTTCTGGCTGAGTGGATGGGAGCTTCTAGCCAGTGAATAAGAGGCATTAGCCAATGTATCTTATTCTGAATGGTCCAGGTTGACTTTTAAAAGAGAAACACGCAGCCTTTTACTTGCTGAAGGTCTGACCCGTAGACTAAGATTACACATTCTTAGTCTAGGTTACACTTGAACTAGACTGCACCCACTGACAATATATTCAGTTCAGGTGTTAACTCACTTGGATTAGCATCTGGCCTGTCCTATCTCTGAATATAGGTTGACACGTGTATTAGAATCTCTGACTAGTCAGAAGATGTTCTTAGTTATATTCTCAATACTGAGGAATTTTTACTTCTAGAAACTGAAGGATCAGAAGAGGATGATAAAGAAAATGATAAGACTGAAGAAATGCCAAACGATTCAGTCCTTGAAAACAAGGTATGTTGTTAGCCACTCAGTACTGTTGTCAGCCTTTCTCTTTTTTTGGGAGACAGGAGCTCACTCTTGTTGCCTAGGCTGGATTGCAGTGGGGTAATCATGATCATGGCTCACTGCAGCCTAGACCTGAGCTTAAGTGATCACCTCAGCCTCTCAAGTGGCTGGGACTACAGGCTTGTGCCAACACGCCCAGCTAATTTGCAGGACTGTAGCTTACCTAGTTTAGGCATGATTTTTTTTTTTTTTTTGAGATGGAGTCTCGCTCTGTCGCCCAGGCTGGAGTGCAGTGGCGCAATCTCGGCTCACTGCAAGCTCCGCCTCCCGGGTTCATGCCATTCTCCTGCCTCAACCTCCCAAATGGTTGGGACTACAGGCGCCAGCCACCATGCCTGGCTAATTTTTTGTATTTTTAGTAGAGACGGGGTTTCACCGTGTCAGCCAGATGGTCTCGATCTCCTGACCTTGTGATCCGCCCACCTCGGCCTCCCAAAGTGCTGGGATTATAGGCGTGAGCCACTGTGCCTGGCCTGTTATTTTTTTAAGAGAGAGAATCTCTGTCTCTGTTTCCCAGGCCGGAGTGCACTGGCACATTCAGGGCTCACAGTATCTTCAGCCTCCTGGGTTCAGGGAATCTGGCCTCATCTTCTCAGATAACTAGGTCTCCAGATGTTTGCCACCATGTCTGGCTAATTTGTTCTCTAATTTTATTTTGTTTAGATGGTGTCTTGCTATGCTGCCCAGGCTGGTTTCAAACCTGGCCTCAAGTGATTCTCCTGCCTCAGCCTCCAAAAGTGTTGGGATTATAGGCATGACCCAATATGCTGAGCCCTCGGCATGATTATTATAGATAACTGTCCCTTGGTTATGGATTAGGGATCCTTTATTCATGCCTAGGATGGGAGGATAAATTTGATTCTAGGGGTCCTGTGTGTTAGTATGTGAGCCAACATTTCACTGTTAAAATACCACTGACATGGCCATGACTTAGGATAGTATGTGGACCCATTCTCTAGATTTTAGGGAGAAAGTCCAAATTTTGAATCGTATATCAACTTTAAAGCTACGCTAAGTTGTACATTTAGATTTGTATTCTGAAAAGATGCCTATCCTTTTTTTTTTTTTTGGTTAGTCTCTTCAAGAAAATGAAGAGGAGAAGATTGGGAACCTAGAGCTTGCCTGGATAGTCTGGATTTAGCAAAGATCATTTTTAAAAGGTAAAACTCTTGTGCTTCTAGGCTTGGGTTGAGAGCTTGGTGGTTAAATAGAAGCCAGTTAGGGTTAGACAGATACTGTTAAGGTTTTTGATCAACTTTCCTTCTTTTAGGCAAGAAACAAAAGAAGCCCAGCTTTATGCTGCCCAGGCACATCTTAAACTCGGAGAAGTTAGTGTTGAATCTGGTAATGCATTTTCCATTTTATACTCTCCTACCCTCTTCAGCTCCCTCGTTCTTCCTCTAATAGATTCTCTAGAACCCAACTTGATCTTTAAAAAGACAGGTCTGGGTTCCCTGTAGACCCTGGAACAATGAACAGTCTCTTTGAGTGGCACTCATAGAAAGTCTTTCAGTAGGTTTTTTTCTTTTTTTTTGAGATGGGGTTTTGCTCTGTCGCCCAGGCTGGAGTGCAGTGGCATAATCTCTTCTCACTGCAACCTCAGCCTCCCAGGTTCAAGCAATTCTCCTACCTCGGTCTCCCGAGTAGCTGGGATTACAGGCGGCCGCCACCATGCCCAGCTAATTTTTGTATTTTTAGTAGAGATGGGGTTTCACCATATTGGCCAGGCTGATCTTGAACTCCTGACCTTGTGATCTGCCTGCCTCGACCTCCCAAAGTGCTGGGATTACACGCCCAGCCTCAGTAGGTTTTTAAAAGTCATTTTGACATTCTTTATAGCCATGGGTCCTGGAAATAACTATAAACAAAAATGAAATGTTAAGTATGGACGCATTCCTGTAGGATGGGTCTGAATTCTGGAAGTATTTTATGTTAAATGCTGTCCATTTACTTGCTCTTCTTTTTCTCTTTGTTAGAAAACTATGTGCAAGCTGTGGAGGAGTTCCAGTCCTGCCTAAACCTGCAGGAACAGTACCTAGAAGCCCACGACCGTCTCCTTGCAGAGACCCACTACCAGCTGGGCTTGGCTTATGGGTACAACTCTCAGTATGATGAGGCAGTGGCACAGTTCAGCAAATCTATTGAAGTTATTGAGAAGAGAATGGGTGAGTGAAGACCAGCTGCTTCATGGTGATGTTGGATCCAGCAGTTAAGGGAAAATAACAGTTCTTTTTTGCGCCATTACTAATCATTTTATTCTTTTTAGCTGTACTAAATGAGCATGTGAAGGAGGCTGAAGGATTGTCTGCTGAATACAAGAAAGAAATTGAGGAACTAAAGGAACTGCTACCCGAAATTAGAGAGAAGATAGAAGATGCAAAAGAGTCTCAGCATAGTGGGAATGTAGCTGAACTGGCTCTGAAAGCTACTCTGGTTGGTTCTGTTAACATTTTGATAATAGCATGTTTGGTACCATTTATGTTAATGTTTCATTTGCCAGGAACTTTTCATCATGACTTGGTTTCCAGGGAGTTGGTGGGCTCATCTAATTATTCCTATCGAATAATGCATTGGTTAAGAGGAAATACCCTGGAGCCCCAGACTATCTGGGTTTTAATTCCATACTTAAAATGGCCATGGGCATTTCTCTCCCTCAGTTGACCCATTTGTAAGTTGGGGGATAATACAGGTTGAGATTCTTACCTGAATGCTTGAGACCAAAAGTGTTTTGCATTTCAGATGCTTTTGGATTTTGGAATATTTGCATCATACTCAACAGTTGGATACCCTTAATCCAGAATCTGAAATGCTCCAGGGAGCATTTCCTTTGAGTGTCAGTCAGATTAAGGAATGGGCTGCCCAACCTGTAGTACATATGTGTAAAATACACTTCTGACAGTACTGGAAAAATAGACATTTCTTAACAAATGTAAGTTGCTATTTCCATTTCTAAGAACTCATTTGCGTAAATTAGTGAGGCATTGAGAGGCATTGACCACAAATTGCCTGGTTCTGTTTTTGGCTGTGTTAGAATGTCCCAGAGCTTTTTACCCTGCAGGTAGGATATGGAAGATTATCAGGTACACTCTGCGACTATGCTCTGGGTGGCCGCTAGACAGGGATAGATGGGCCAGGGGTAGAAGATCTTGATACTATATGGAGGCCACTAGTATTTCAGGTCTTAGTTGTTTGGATGGTGATGGGTACCTGTTACAAGGCTGCGGGTGGCCTGGGTTCTATCCTGAAACCAATTTGGGTTTGCCATTTCTTGCAGGTGGAGAGCTCTACTTCAGGTTTCACTCCTAGTGGAGGAGGCTCTTCAGTCTCCATGGTGCGTATTCAGGTGGTTTTTTTGGTCACTTATATTAAGTCTCAGTGTTGGCTTGGTGTGGTGGCTCATGCCTGTAATCCCAGCACTTTGGGAGGCCGAGGCAGGAGGATTGCTTGAGGTTTGGAATTCAACACTAGCCTGGGCAACATAGTGAGACCTTGTCTCAAAAAGACTAAAAAATCATATAAGCCTCAGCATTGATCTCATATAGCTTGTACAATTGCTAATAAAGGCTTATTTTGCCAGATTGCCGGTAGAAAGCCAACAGATGGTGCTTCCTCATCAAACTGTGTGACTGATATTTCCCACCTTGTCAGAAAGAAGGTAAGTCTACATGTGGTGTTTCTTTCCTACCTTTTCCTCAGATTCCATTTTTAATACCTTTCCTATAAACCTCTCCCTATATAGTTGGCGCATATAAGACACTCATTTTCCAAAGGGGGTAAGGATTTGTGAGTGGAGACAGTTTTTGTTGTTGTTGTTGTTTGTTTTGAGACGGAGTCTTGCTCTGTCACCTAGGCTGGAGTGCAGTGGCACCGTTTTGGCTCACTGCAAACTCTGCCTCCCAGGTTCAAGCGATTCTTCTGCCTCAGCCTCCAGAGTAGCTGGGATTACAGGCGCGTGCCACCATGCCTGGGTAATTTTATATTTTTAGTAGAGACGGAGTTTCACCATATTGGTCAGGCTGTTTTCAAACTTCTGACCTCGTGATCTGCCCGCCTCGGCCTCCCAAAATGCTCCCAGCTGTGGAGACAGTTTTTATTTGCACACCTCTTTTTGCAAACACTCCTAGCCTTTTAAAGCCCATAGAATTACCATGAAAGCTGCAGAGGAGGATTGGATTAGCAGCTGGCAGGTGGCAGGTTTTCTTTGACAGTAGTCATTCAGCAGCAGGCCTGTTGGTACTTAATTCCTGGGTCTGCCTTTTGCCTATAGTACTGGTGGCTCTTTTATTTTGGTGGATAGGGGAACTCATTTTTTTTGAGATGGAGTCTCGCTCTGTCACCCAGGCTGGAGTGCAGTGGCGTGGTCTCGGCTCACTGCGACCTCTGCCTCCTGGGTTCAAGCGATTGTCCTGTCTCAGCCTCCCAAATAGCTGGGATTACAGGTGCGTGCCACCACACCTGGCTAATTTTTGTATTTTTAGTAGAGACAGGGTTTCACCATATTGGCCAGGCTGGTCTTGAACTGCTGACCTCGTGATCTGCCCGCCTTGGCCTGCCAAAGTGCTGGGATTACAAGCGTGAGCCACTGCCCTCGGCCAGGGAACTCTGAATTCCTGTTGTGTTTCCTGACTCAAACACAGGAATTCAAACCCGTACAGTGATTACCATTCACATCCCACCCCAACCCTGTCTCCTTGTGCTTCCGGTAGAGGGGCCTGAAGTGGTATGGTGGGACAGATTAATTTATTCTGAGAGTACAATTTGGCATCTGCCCATGGCTAGGGAGAGAGACCCTCAGAGCTATGAATCCTGGTGTTCAGGATCTTTGCACCACAAGGGTTAAGGAAATGTTTTGCAGTTGTGTTTTTAAAAACATTAAGCACATTTGTGAAGCCTTCATAATTATATCTTTAGAGGAAACCAGAGGAAGAGAGTCCCCGGAAAGATGATGCAAAGAAAGCCAAACCAGAGCCGGAGGTGAACGGAGGCAGTGGGGATGCTGTCCCCAGTGGAAATGAAGTTTCGGAAAACATGGAGGAGGAGGTGGGCAGTTAAGCAGGGCTTAGCTTCTTGCCTCATTCGTTGTTCTCAGGACCTGGGGAAATCAGTCCTCCCAAGTGCATGCTCCCCACCTTGAGCCTGTTAACAACTGTTGAGTGCATTCCTCACAGGAAACGGTACTTGTGCAGGAAAACAGTTTGGTTATGGGAGTGTAGGATGACTCACTGACAAAAGGAACCTGTATATCATAGGTCCCTCAATGAACATAGGAGAAGGCACTTGATTGGCAAAACCATTCCATGTAATATGATTATTGGCTGTGTCAACCCCATTATCACAGAGCATTCAAGAAATACTGCCCTTTTAATATAGGGAGCAAAGCAGAGTTTGGGTGACTTGTATATGCTTCCTCTCACTGAGGCCTCAGTTACGTAAGACAGAACGGCTTAAATTAGGCTCACTCATGCCCAGGCTCTGTTTGTCTTCCAGGCTGAGAATCGGGCTGAAAGCCGGGCGGCAGTGGAGGCGACAGTGGAGGCTGGAGCTACAGTTGAAAGCACTGCATGTTAAGAGGCGGCACAGCCCCCCTCCCAAGGGAAAGTGTTTTTGTATATAATGTATTTTTTCACTTTTGGAGGATTCTTTTTGTATAACTTCAATAAAGATTGTAAGCAAAGGTTGAGGCTTTGATGGTTTTTTTTCTTAATTATTGGCTGAATCTGCCTTGGAACACTCCTGGTTTTACATAGTAGCCAAAGGTTTTGTTCTGGCCTTCTGTACTGATCTGTGTTCCTGATCCTAATTCTTATCTGTCTAACGTGGAGGTGATCAAGTGTGGCTGTAGGCCTTTGTTTTCCAATGGTGCTATATTCTGTTTTCAAATACTTCACTGAATCCAGCTGTCTTGCAAAACCTTTAGTGGTGCTGTCCCTGGATGGGGCTACAAAAACAAGACTTGGTGAAGATCTTGCTCTTCGGTGCTGAAAATGGATTATGGACTTCGGCTGTGAGCCAGGCCTAGAATGGTACTTGTCCTATATCAACCTAGTCTTCAACTGGGGCTATAATCCTGTCCTGGAAAAAGAACTCTGAAGAAAACCTGGGTCAGGGGAATGATTCCTAAGGAAAACGGTCTGCATCTGAGCTCTGGTTTGAAAGTAGCCAAGGGACTGATGGTGGACACTCCAGATGTGGTTGGAAGCATATGTGGGGAGGCTGGCTGGTTGAGTTTTGTTATTTTCTGTATAGAAAGGTTGAGATATATCAACACTTGGAATTGTTACCCATCAACTGAATTGACTTCTCAAATAAAGATGCTAAAAATCTCCTTGTTTGGAATTATGTTTAAAGATCTTACAGTGGGATCTTAGGCTGTGTATTTTTGAGATGGAATCTCGCTCTTGTCGCCCAGGCTGGAGTGCAATGATGCGATCTCGGCTCACTGTAACCTCTGCCTCCTGGGTTCAAGAGATTCTCCTGCCTCAGGAGGCTCCCAAGTAGCCAGCACTACAGGCGTGTGGCACCACACCTGGCTAATCTTTGTATTTTTGGTGGAGACAAGGTTTCACCATGTTGGCCAGGCTGGACTCGAACTCCTGACCTAAAGTGATCTGCCCACTTCGGCCTCCCGAAGTGTTGGGATTACAGGCGTGAGCCACCTCACCTGACTGGAGCATTTCTGTGTGTGATAGAGGGTTTCAAAGGCAGGAACGAGCCCACCAGTCCAAGGATGCTGGTGGTGAGGGCACTAGTATTAATGTTATACCCGTTGGGCTCTCACTGGTATCTAGAGTTCAGGGCTCACTTGAGACTGAGCTGCCTCTGACCTGACCCTTAGTTTAAGTATCAGGATCTGAATTCCAAACAATGCCTGCCCTGCATCACCACTAAAATTTAGTAGTCGTGACATCCATAGGGCTGCTTTGTTGTACTGGAGGCAGAGGGAGCTATGGCTGACCCCTAAATTCAAGCCCATTTTTCAGACTAAGTTTTTCTGGGCTGGTCACAATAACTCATGGTTGCAGGATCTCTGGCTTATCCTGGGTGTGGAGTTTCTTCCTGATGATGCCCTTGCAGTGTACCAGGTCCTGAGACTTTTTCCCCCCTTTCTTGGTCAGGACAGTCATGATGTAGTTTAATCCCAGGCACTTGACCTCCTCTGGTTGGCACTGGGGTCTAGGGCTAGGCACAGTATCTAAGCTAGGATCTCACATGTGACCTCTGGGTGGGCGAACAGCCTTGGGCTGGGGACCTGTCCCGGAATCGAAGTACATAAGGCCTCAGGAGCTTCCTGTTTGTTGGTACCTTGACAACCTGAAAGGTTTCCTGGCAGAAATACTGAGGAAACAGATTTAAGTTTGGCAATAAAACTGGCTTTACTAAAAAAACCATTGGAAACTAGTGGGAATTTAAAGTTCCTTTAGTTGGAATTAAAGAATGCCCCCTAGTCACCTTTCGGAGAACTTTGTAAGTGCCAGACAATATCATAAATATCTGACAAACTCATTTAATCCTTAGCCTGTTTTATAAAAACAGAAGAGGTACAGAAAAGTTAAGGACTTATGGGAGGTGGTAAAACTGGTTGGAGCTCGTATTCTGTACTCAACTGCTAGTTGCTTCTAGACCCAGTGTCAGAACATGGAGTAGTAAAAGCTGTAGGTCTGGAAATAGGCCCCAGTCCTGTGCATGTTCTGATGCTCATCCCCACATTCACTTGGGTTCAGAAACTCACTGGGGGCAAGTCAGAACTGTGGTGAGGGCCCAAACCCTCATCTCTATCCTTGACTCCACTGAGGGGCTCTTCTGTACGAGGTGGGGGATCAGCAAAGCCAGATGTGGGGGTGAGGAAGTTGGCTTCCGGTGAAGATGTGCTTGACAAAACCTGTGGAACAGTGAGAAGGCAGGTTTTGAGCAAAAATGTAAAGGTTAAGCACACAGATTGTGGAGTTAGGCTTCCTTAGAGTCTCAACTTACTGTGAACCAAGTTAACCTGGTCCTGCTTTGATTTCCTTATCTGTTACATAGTAGGACTTCATAGAGATGTGAGGATCAAACAGAAAAGCATTGGTAATGACTGGCATACAGTGGTCAATAAAGGCTGGCTATTAGACACACTGGTATGGGTAGCTGTGGTGTCCCTAGCTGCAGCTGGGCCCTCACCGGAGGTGGGTACTGGTACTCATGGGCACTTGCTGGATTGATCTCTGCCAGTGTCTGGACAGCTGCATCTCTTGCATTCACCAGCCGCAGAAAGAGCTCAGCCTGACCTGCCTGAGGAGAGATGAAATGGTACTGCACTTGTACCTTGCTGTATGCCCAATCCCCACCCACCACACTCACCTGAGGAATCCCATTCAGCTGCCTGAGGCTAAGGCTGGGGTCCAGAGGAAGGGCCCGAAGTGGGAGGCGCCAGCGGCCGCTTAGCACCCGCTGCTCTTGGTCAAATAGCCCAAGTGAGACCCAAGCCTTTGGCTGTGGTGCCCTAGCCCATGCCAGGCCCTGCCAGACCTGCAGCTCACAGACCAAAGATACTGATGGTGAGGGTGGCAGTCTGTAGAATAACCAAAAAGCAGTGTCGGAAGCCAGAGCTGCAGTCCCTTCCTAGGACTTAGCCCTTTAGAGCCAGTGGCCTCTGTATACAGATGAGAAAACTTAGCAGAATGATGGATAAGCCTTAATTGTGGCAGAGTACCAGAGTCATGATCCCCACCTACTGACCTGGGCACAGGCTGCCTGCTGGCAAGGATAGCACAGTTGCCCATGGGCCCGGGAGCAGGAGGTGGGGGCAGGCAAATGGCTGGGGGCAATGCTGTGGTCCCTCCTGTATCCTGTCCATCGCGTGCCAAGCCAGTCCTTAGTTGCACCCAAATCCAGGAAGCCTCAAGGCCCCGCAGGAAATCATAGAAAATGACCAGGCCAGCCCTGGGGAATACAAGTCTTAGCACAGAAACACCCAACTCCTTTCAACCTCTCTCCTCTCAGGCAGGTTCCTAACCCTATCTGGCCCTAGTGGGCTCCCTTAACCAGCAGTGCTGGCCAAGTCACAGAGGATGTGAAAAGTGGCATGGGCCTCACCCAGGATCGTAGGGTGCAGGGCCCAGCACGTCCGATGTGGGTAGGAGGAAGTGTGGGTCCAGGCCCAGGTTTCTGGTCATTGTTCCAGGAAGCTGTGGCTGTGGGGAAGATAGTTGACTCCTCCAGAAGGCCTTTTAGCTGCCCAAGTTCCCCCAACTGCTCAGAGCAGAGCTGCCCGCAACCTATTCCCCCCTCCACCCAGTGTCTTCACAGCCTTTCCCCCACCCAGGAACCGAACCTCCGTGAAGCCTGGAAGTGGTGGCAGTGGTGGTGCCACTGGCGGTGAAAGGAGTGGGGGATCTCTCCTCCCCTTCGGTTGTAGGCTGGCACCCCACAGGAGTCGCAGATCCCGGGGCCCTAGGAGCAGAAGAAGAGTTAGGGTGCCCCTAAGTTGGACAAAGCAGGTAATTAGCTGAGATACCCACAAATGGGTTGGCGGAGCCCTGAGGATACAGGGACACACACGTGCAGACTAGGGGAGTCATAAACACGGGACTTGTTCCCCATGCACTGGCGGCCCGAGCCAGGCCTGCTGGGGAGAGGTGGGATGGGATAGGGTTGGGGTGCTCACTGACCCAAGGCTGCCTGACTCCGCTGCATTTGCAAGGCCAAGATTTCTGCCTCCAGGCGCCGGTTTTCAGCCTCCACTACTGGAAGCTCCCCTGAGGTGGCACCTGCCCTTCCTGCAATGAACAAGTGTGACCTGTCACCTTTGACCTCTGGTGACTGGCCGGGTCCAGCTGCAAGCAGCTCTCCAGCGCTAAGGCTCTTCGGATAAGGCTGGACTTGTCAGCTCACATCCTATCCACAGCCACAGACCCTCCCTCGAGTTCTTTTCTCCTCCCAGGACTGACCACCGCTGCCGAGAGGCCCTCCTGTTCACCTCTGCGGGTCTGCGACCGCTGCAGCTCCAGTGCAGACGCCTCCACCTGCAACTGCCATATCTGGCCCAGCACACCGGGGTCCCGGCCTCCGTCTCGAATGTAGGCCTCCCGCAGGGCCCTAGGGAATGGGGAACAGGAAGGCCATCTTTCCAGAACTGCTCAGCGCTTCGTCCCATGCCCATCTTCAGACCCCGGCCCTCACCCGATTTCGGCAGCCAGAGTTCCCGGGTTGGCCTTTAGCACTGGAGAATAGAGTTTTGCCTCTCGACCGGAGCTCAGCGGGTTCCTGGGGTGGCAGGCGACACGCAGGGAGACGGTAACGCATCAGGGGTCCGGAGCTCCAGCCAGCCCGCCGGCCCCTCCCACCCCGGAGCCGCATGTTCCGGGGTTCCGCTTTGTCGGGGTCTCACCCTGGCTCCGCCTGCAGCTCCTGAATGCGGGCTCCCAACACCTCTAGAGCTCCCTGCGTCCTACCGGCCTCAGTTCGTAGTTCTCGAATCTCCTGCTCCAGGCCGAAGAGGCGGGATATCCCGCCCCGCGTAGAGGCCACACCTTGGAGGCGCCGGCTCAGTTCTGAGGGAATGCGGGCCGAGTCAGAACCGGCGCGAGCAAGCTTAAGCCAAAGGGTAAGGGCAGAGGAGGTCCTTGGTCCCCGCCCCCCATCTCCTTCACCCTGGCCGCGTTGCTGCAGGGCCCAGCTCTGCGCTTCCGTCTCCGCCACGCGCCTCGCGCGAGTCCTGAGCAGCGCTCGCAGCCGCTCGCTGGGGCCTCCCACCGCCTCGGACATGGGACACTGAGGGCGCGCCTCGTAACGTGTCCAGGACCCCGCGAGCACCCTGGGGACCTCTGTTATCCAGGGCCGCATTTCCTGTAGGGATAGCCGCAGCCACTGCACCTGGAGGTAACAGCGATCCGCGATCTCTGTGTGGGCAGAATCTGTCCCAAGTATGATCTACAGGTTTGGGGAAGACGCTCAACGTTTTGAGCCCTGGGGAAAGGTAGGCAGCTGTACCTCCTCTGTTAACCTCTTTAGAGCAGATTTACTGGCCTGCTGGTCTGGGAGGCCCTGGAGATCTTGTGGCACAACCTGGGGACAGGGTGTAGGAGGATGAGGAATTATAAAGGTCCTGCTCCTTTGAATCCCCACCCATGGCCATGGAGGCCCTTACCGTGGCCCCTTGGGGTTCAGTGGCAACTGAGGCCTGTGCTCCAAATGTCTTCTCTTGGGTCGGGTGGCCAATGCAGAAGCGCTGTGTGTGGGTGGCTAACAGAGCTGAGGAGCGGAAAACCATGTCACAGGTCCCACAGGGCAGGAGCGCTGGCTCCCCAGAATGGGAGTCCATGGGATGGGACCTGTTTCCTGAAACAAGTCAAGACCTGCAGAAGGGATCAAGGGCAGGGGAAAGGCAGAGGAGGATGAAAGAGACAGAAAGCCAGAGGCCGAGAGGAAAGGCCAGGTCTGTTAGGTCTGCCAGATCTTCAAGTTTGTTTGGTGAGAGCCTTAGCTCCCTGGACAGCAACCACAAGGCTGGGCAGGTCAGGAGAATGGGTGGGGACACCTTGGCCATTTGGGAGGAGCCACTGGCTTGAAAAAGTGTTACAAGTCTGAACGTGGGCAAGTCTCTTAACTGTAGCTTGGTTTCCCTATTAATAGAGGAAAAAACAGTTGCCTCCTAGAGTAGCTGGGCCCTTATCACTCCATCATTGGTCATTTAATAGCCTCTAAAAGGCAGGCATCATCTTTTTCATTGCTGTACTCCTAAGTGGATGTAAGTAACAGTTTGTACCACTCTGCAATCCAGAGAACTACATGGTAAAGGAGGCACACTGACCTTTCCAGCATTCTGCCTGGAAACCACATCACACCAGAGATAGCAGTCTTTCCCTAACTCGCATTCCCTGATTCCTCGTTTTTCAGCTGTAGACGGAGATAATCAGCACAGCCCAAGAAGCTGTGAGTGAACACAATGAATCTATCAGATAAGGGAGTCAAGTCCACAAAGAAACCCCTTCTCTCCCAAGATTGGCCAGAAGCCAGAAAGGCCCTGAACTGTTGGTGAAATTCTTCACTCCACTCCCACTCCCAAAATATATGCAGGAGCTCTGAGGTGACCACATATTTCTTAAGAAACCCCCTTTATTTATTTATTTTTGAGACGGAGTCTTGCTCTGTCACCTAGGCTGGAGTGCAGTGCAGTGCTCACTGCAAGCTCCGCCTCCTGGGTTGACGCCATTCTCCCGCTTCAGCCTCCCCAGTAGCTGAGACTACAGGCGTCCGCCACCAAGCCTGGCTCATTTTTTTCTATTTTTTAGTAGAGGGGGGGTTTCACCATGTTAGTCCAGGATGGTCTCCATCTCCTGACCTCGTGATCCACCGCGCCCGGCCAAGAAACCCCTTTTCTTAACAAGGCAGGGACTTAAGACATTTCCCAACACAGTACCTAAAGCCGAGGTATGGCCCACCAGCAGCAAGTGACAAAGTGTTCAAGGTTATGTCATCTCAGTTCAGCTTCATTCCAACTGACACCAAGAGCACATTTTTAGAAATATGTTCTCAGAAAACAAGTAAATGGCAAAGCCCAAATCGAAACCTACTTTTCAACAGCTAAGTTTGTCCCGATTTTCAGTGGTTAGACTTTTGACTGTTTGACTTTATAATGGTGCAACAGCGATAGGCATTTGGTAGAAATACTACTACCAATCCCCCCAACCCCCCTCAAAAGACAGGGTCTCACTCTGTCATCCAGGCTGGATTGCAGTGGTGCCATCATGGCTCACTGTAGCCCTGACCTCTCTTGGAATCAAGCAATCCTCCTGCCTTAGCCTCCCAAGAAGCTGGGACTACAAGCGTGTGCTACCAGGTGGACCTGGCTATTTTGTTTCTGTTTTTGAGATAGAGTCTTGCTCTGTTGCCCAGGCTGGAGTGCAATGGTGCGGTACAGGCTCACTGCAACCTCTGCCTCCTGGGTTTAAGCAATTCTCCTGCCTCAGTCTCCTAAATAGTTGGGATTACAGGCGCCTGCCGCCACGCCTGGCTAATTTTTTTGTATTTTTAGTAGAGATGGGGTTTCACCATGTTGGCCAGGCTGGTCTTGAACTTCTGACCTCAGGCGATCCACCCACTTCAGCCTCCCAAAGTGATGGGATTACAGGCGTGAACCACCATGCCCTGCCGGACCTGGCTATTTTAATGTTTTTGTTTTTTGTAGACAGGTCACTGTGTTGCCCAGGCTGGTCTTGCACTCCTGGCCTTTTCTTAGATCACTGTCTATTCTCTCCCCTATGGGGCTGGGCACTCCTTGCATCCTCAGAGCCTTGCACAATGCCGGGGACATACAACAGGGGCTTAGAAAGTATTTGTTGAATGGGCCGGCGCAGTGGCTCACGCCTGTAATCCCAGCACTTTGGGAGGCCAAGGCGGGCGGATCACGAGGTCAGGAGATCGAGACCATCCTGGCTAACAAGGTGAAACCCCGTCTCTACTAAAAACACAAAAAATTAGCTGGGCGTGGTGGCGGGCATCTGTAGTCCCAGCTACTTGGGAGGCTGAGGCAGGGGAATGGCGGGAACCCGGGAGGCGGAGCTTGCAGTGAGTCGAGATGGCGCCACTGCACTCCAGCCTGGACGACACAGAGAGATTCCGTCTCAAAAATAAAAATAAAAAAGAAAGTATTTGTTGAATGAAAAAACCTGCTTCCTTCACTAGCCATCCGGCTAGCATCGTCCAACTCTCCCCCAACCCCTGCTCTAAGTTCTTATTTAGTAGGAAAACAGAGTAGACTTCCCTTAAAATATGTATACTGGTAAATACATGGGCACTAAAAAACAGTTTCAGGAAAAAAAAAAAAAAAAAAAAACTTGGTTTCTGACTTTATTAGTGGTAATTTATTGCACAGGTTTTTCTGCATCAAAAAAGTATCTGCTAAAAAGAGAACAGTTGTGTCTGAATTCACATTTCCCCCCAACTTCTAAAAATATTTCCCCTAAAAAAGAATCCACTCATTTAATTTTAAAGAAAATATACTTCTTACACAAGACAATCCAAACTGATGCAAAATATTTATTCCAAGTTAGTTATTTTATGCAGTAGTTTCCCCCTCGAGACTTGTGATAACCACATCTTTTAAATCTGTAAATAATGTTATCAAAATAATCTTAATCTTTGAAATCTCACAAAAATTTATATTTTACAATCCACCCTGAATATCAAGGCTGCAAGATAACACAACATTTCCTATATCCAAATATTTTACAGCTGTACCCAAAAAGGAAAAAGAAAAAAAACAAAACAAAACAAAAAAAAAACAACCAAAAAAACCACGTATGCTTGGTTAAGGGCTAAAGTTACCCGAGCAGCCAAAAATAAAATAAAATATCCAAATTATTAGCATTAATTTAATACAATTATAACTTCAATAGTCACTTTGTCATTGACAATGATTGCTTGAGCACAGGGGTGAGTGCCCTAAGGGCTGGTAGTAGAAGCTGTTGCTGCAGACCGGTGTCTCCTCTTCCCTGCACTGCCAGCTCCTACCTGTGCGTCACCCCATATATACTGGGTGTGTGTGTGTGTTTAAAAAATCTGTCCCACCACACAAACTTCTCTCTATTAAGCAGATAACAGGGAAGAACAACAACAAAAGCGAAACAAGCCAATCGCTCTCTCTTTGGGATACGATTATTTCCCTTGTGAATGAAGTATTCAACAACATAAGAAAAGGAAAAGAACGATTTCTTTTGTATACTCCCTAAACACACAGAGTTTACTGGGTCAGATTTAACTGTGAGCATTTATATGCCTACTTCCAGGCATCGTCATCTGATGTTTCACTGCTACTGGTTTCGGTGTCTGAGTCCTCAAACTCTGCTCTGCAAGTGCTTCTCCAAGGGGAGAACAGGCTGGAACTGCGGCTCTGCAAGAAGCCATTCTTTCCAAAGCCATTTCTTCTCAGCTATGGTTAGCATGGGAGAGAAAGAAAAAAGAAAAAATTGTCAGTGACTGCACTGACTCATGAGCCCTGGGAAAGGCCAGGCCTCAATTCAATTCTAGGTAGAATGTGGGATAGGGGGTGCTTCTAAGGGACCCTCTGAGATCTCTTATAGCAGTGTTTTTCAAATTTTAATGTACGAGTCATCTATGCATCTTTCAAAAATGCAGATTCAGATTCAGTATGTCTGGGATGGAGCTTGAAAGTCCTTTTTCTTTCTTTCTTTTTTTTTTTTTGGAGACGGAGTCTCGCTCTGTCGCCCGGGTTGGAGTGCAATGGCACGATCTTGGCTCACTGCATCCTCTGCCTCCCGGATTCAAGTGATTCTTCTGCCTCAGCCTCCCAAGTAGCTGGGATTACAGGCGTGCGCCACCAAGCCTGGTTAATTTTTGTATTTTTAGTAGAGATGAGGTTTCATCATATTGGCCAGGCTGGTCTCGAGCTCCTGACCTCGTGATCCGCCTGCCTCAGCCTCCCAATGTGTTGAGATTACAGGCGAGAGCCACTGCGCCCAGCCATAAGTCCTTATTTCTAACAGAGTTCAGAGTGGCAAGGTCTCATACCAGCTTGTGCCATGCCCCTTTTAAGAACTTGGCCAATTGTACTTTGTGCTGTAAATATATGCCACCAGAAGTTCAAGGATTTTTATAGAAACCCCATTTGTCTTGTTCACCCTAGGATCTAGCAGTGTTTTATTCAGAGAAAGAATCCAAGCAACTGCTGGATAAACTGACACAAGCTATTTAGCTTCTTATCTCTGGCCAGAGGACCAGGAAACTACAGTGCAGAACAGGAAGCAGAGGAAGGCGAACCTGCTTCCTTAAAGACCAAGAGCTCAGACCATAACTCTGGAACACAGCCTTGTGGTTCTGATAAGGAGTTAGAGCTGTGAGGATGAAAGAGTATACTATTTTCTGGAATCTGCTAATAACTGACACTTGGTTTTTGTATCCAATACTGGGGATCCTTATTTCCCAGGCAGATTTAGGAGCCACGCTACATTTCTACTAAGGTAATTTTCCCACCCCTCCCAGATCTTTCTCTCACATTAAATTAGGGCTCCCTCAGGGCAAGGACTGTCTGGACTCCTTATTCTCCTGGTTACTAACTGGTCTCTAGGAAGGTTTACAACATACCTGCTCTGTCTTCATGTGGAACTCTTTGAGCTCATCCTCTGTGAGGGGAAGGCAATTCTCATCGTTTTCAGGATATTCTTGCCATCCCATTGCTTTCAATAACCTGGTGGATGCAGAAGGACAGGTAAAGAGAATATGACATCATTAAGCCTAAGTGAACAGCCCATCTCTTTTCACAGAAAACTTTTCTACCCAGGGACAATGGATGTTAAAGGAATTCTGTTTTCCTCCCTGTGGGACAAGCTTTAATTGTGGCTACTTGGGTGCCTGTAAATAAATGGAGGCTCTTCACAGTTGAGAGAGGAAGAGCTACAGAAGAGACAGTAGAAGCAAAACCAAGGCAGTGTAAGGAAGAAAGAGAGCACTTGCAAAATCTGGCTTTTTTTGGTGGGGGGAAGGAGCCTCACTCTGTCACCCAGGCTAGAGTGCAGGGTGCAATCTCAGCTCATTGCAACCTCCACCTCCCGGGTTCGAGCCATTCTCCTGTCCCAGCCTCCCTAGTAGCTGGGATTACAGGCACACACTACAATGCCCAGCTAATTTTTGTATTTTTAGTAGAGACAGGGTTTCGCCATGTTGGCCAGGCTGGTCTCGAACTCTTAACCTCAAGTGATCTACCCACATTGGCCTCCCAAAGTGCTGGGATTACAGGCGTGAGCCACTGTGCCCGGCCTGAAGTTAAAAATATTAAAGTATTGGAGAGTAGATTGTGGAAGAGATGGCTGGGTTTGTGACAGAATGTTTGATGGGCAACAGGCCAACCTGGGGCATACAAAGAGAACAAGTTACGATTGGGCCACTTCTCTCTGTATGTGGGACTCTATCTAAGATATCTTCTCCAGTATGTTCAAGGTCCTTAAGGGTCAGACACTGCATGCCCTTGTGATGTCCTCCTCACTTACCTGTGCTCTGCTTCTAGAGAGTGTGAGAGAACCTCCCCTTCTTCCACTACAGGGAGGGCAAGACCGTTCTGATGACAGCCGTCCTCCTCATTTTCCTTTGGTTCAGGTGTGCTGTTGTCCTCCAACTGCAATGAGGAAAAGGAAGGAAGGACACACTTGGTTTAAGGTTCCTTTGTGGTAATA